GCATCAAATCAGAACTGCCATGAATGCTTTTCAGTGCCTCAGTCCGTGTTAGCTTTTCTTACCCTCTCTCCCATGGCTCAGCTTGCTGTTCAAAAGTATGAGGAGCTCTTCCCGGCCTTCTCGGATTCGAGGGAATGCAAGCTGGTGAAAGTGAGTGCTGGATCTGGCTCTCCCTGACCTGGGGATAGGATGGGCAGGGGTGTCTGGATGCCTGGGTCTCAGCTGGAGTTAGCACTATATTGTTGAGAGACATTCTCCAAGGGCTGCATTTGGTTTGGTTTTCTCCTGCCATTCTGCTGTTTCTTGCACGAGATGAGTTAATGCATTGACAGTGGGGGAGTGGGCATGGCCAAGAGCCTGGGCTTTCCTCTGTAGCATCTGCTGGGTCTGTTTGCAGAAACTGCTGGAAGCCCACGAGGAACAGAATGTGGACAGCTACACGGAATCGGTGAGAGGCTGGCACAGGGGTTCTGGCCAGTGGATCTTCTCCAGTGTGCTCTCATAAATTCTGCCCTACTTGAACTCTGGGTCCTGGAACCTGGCTATAGTTTTCTTCCTGGTGTTCACCCCAGAACCCTCAGTGTTCGCCCCACTTTATGCATAGTGGCATAAAGGCTGAGGAGAGACTGGGACTTGCCCTGGTCCTTTGGGATTTCAGGCCATCTCTGCTCCCCAAAATCAAAGTCTTCATAACTCCTCAGAGCCCCCGGGGACATCGAGGCTGTCTAAACTCTTCCTCTGCTCCTCTCAGCACCCAGCTGCCCTGGAGGATCAGTTCCCATTCCCACTCTGCTCTGAACATTCTGGAAAAGCCATTTGTTCCCAGTTGTGTCCTGTCCTGGTTCCCTAGCCAGTACTTGGCACTGACATTTCTCCCTGGGTCTGGCTGAGGGCAGAGGTCAAGCTGGCCATATCCCATCTGGCATAGGAGTGAGAGGGGCCGTGTTTTCAGGCCTCCAGGCTTCAGTTCCACTCTCAAAGCCAAGATGCTGGGGGAGGGTCTTTCAAGCAGCAAAGCCTTTTACTGCCAACTTATACTCCAAGCTTTGCAGACTAAGGTGACAGGGTGGGACTGGGGCCAGGGAGGGTTCCAGGAGGGAGCAGTGTGTCATAGATCACCCTCCCTGTGCTACAGGTGAAGGAATATGACTCCATCTCAAGGCTGGACCAGTGGCTCACCACCATGCTGCTGCGCATCAAGAAGACGATCCAGGGTGACGAGGAGGACCTGCGCTAGGCCTCCAGCCACTGCCTTCCACCCATCTGTCAGTCAGAGGTGGGGCCCAACACCTCCCACCAGGAATATGAAGGTC